AAAGCTAGAAATGGTGAAGTTAGAGCCCATACTGATATTTATCTATGTATACTCTCCAAGGCAAATGCTACTACTTCACACCACCATCCTTAAGATGGAATTAAATTCTGAGAGAAGCAAAGTGGAATATACGACATTAAGCAATGATGAAAATTGGGATAATGAACATCTTCATATTGTGAGTACAGAAATGACTGACATATAAATCATTTATCATCAGCCTCAGAAAACCAGCATGATCTTCTCCATCGCATAGGCCTGATGTCAAGTGGCTCAAGAGACTGGAGGTCTGCAGCAATTATTGAGCAACTACTAGGTGTTAAGAACTGTCAGGTGCTAGACACCTAACTATAGGCCAAAAAGATAAAGTTCTTAGCCTCATGAGCTTACAGTCCACAAGAGGAACACATATTGAGCAAATTACGCACAGTTATCCCAAACAGTTGTGTTGAATACTACAAAGAACTTGGATATAATCTGAATGAATAAAGGAGAATCTTAAACAATGAACCAATGATGAGGCCTGCTGTGAGCAAGAAGGGCAGTGGCAAGACAGAAACCAAAGGCTCCTGTGGGCACAGATCACCTAGGGAGGGCCTTGAAGTGGACCTTGGAGTCTCAAGAGGCTTTCTTTGACCACTTTCTCTTCTCTTCCTTTTGGCTGCCCCATTTATATTCAAGACACTGGCTCTGTGTCACCACCCAAGTCTCATCTGGAATTGTAATCCCCACGTGTAGGGGGAAGGACCTCATGGGAGGTGATTAGATCATGGGGGCAGTTCCCCCATGCCGTTCTCATGACAGTGAGTGAGTTCTCATGAGAGCTGATGGTTTTATAAGGGACTTTTCTGCCCTTCACTATGCACTTCTCTCTCCTGCCACCATGTGAACAAGGACGGGTTTGTTTTCCCTTCTACCATGATTGTAAGTTTCCTGAGGCCTCCCCAGCCATGCAGAACTGTGACTCAATTAAACCTCTTACTTTATAAATTACCCAGTCTCAGATATGTCTTTATAGCAGCATGAAAACGGACTAATACATCAAGTGTTCAGCCATCAACTTGATCTAAATGTATACCTATAGGCCCAACTATGCCTATTCATTCATTCTTCTGTTCATTCAAGTCAACAAAAATATTCTGAACACCCGACATGTCCCAAGCAATGCTGCTGAGCTGCACACCTTCATTTCCATCTCTTCACCAGTTTTCCACATGAATGTTCTACAGTTCCTAAAGCTCTGCTTATTCAAAACCAACCTCTATTTTCACATAGTACCCTGAATTGTGGTAATTTAGGTCACATGCCTGCTATCTGCTATCAGAAAGTGGGTTCCCAAGGGAGGTTTATGTCTCATGTGCTTTTGTGTCTCCCAAATAATCTGACTGCCTAAGAATCTGGTAGTAACAGATGAAGTTCTGTTACTGCACTTATTACACTGTCGTATGATCCACGGCTTAACTTTTTCTTCTGTGTACTATACTTTGAGCTTCTTAAGGATTAACAGGAATAAATAATGAATGAATGGATGGATACCTTATGTTTTCCTCAAACACAATCTTCCTGCTGATTTCACCATATCATTATGGTCACTACTTATTCTCACCACCACCAACCCATCATCTTTCCAGCAGGTCTAAATCTTGGCATTACCATTATCTCCTGATTCACTCGTCTTCTTTAATATCCAATGAGCTGTCAAATCTTGTTGCTTCTACTTTTGCAACCTTATCCAAATCTTTTTCTACTCTCCCTGCCAACACCTTGGTTCAGACTTACTGCCTCTTGAAAAAATTATTGTGACAGGTCTCCCATTTTGGCTTCCCAACCAAATCTATATTACACCAGCTGTTGCCACATAAACTTTCCTGAATTATAATCCCATCCTGCCAATCCCCAGTTTATGAACACTCAAAGCCTCCATTTAATCCACCGCATTAATTTTAGGCCTCTCAGTTGGACATTAAGGCTCTATACATTAGCCCATCTAAGTTTTGATTCTAATCTCCCACTGCTCCCCTACTGACAATTACTCCTCTTCTCTGCCATTCCCCAACCAAAAGGACTATGTGCTTTTTATTAAATATATCTTACGTTTTCCACCTGTTACTTCTGCTTGGGCACTTGTCCCCCATTCCATACTTTGAGGCCCATTGTAAATGTCAGCTTTTTCATGAAGTAGGTCCTGATACCCCAATCGACGAGCTCTCTGCCTCCTTTGAATAGCTGCAGCTCTTTTTGTTTCTTTCTTCAAGTTCAATCTCACCTTGTTTTACTTATAGTCATTCTGTACGTACCTTGTCCACTGCAAGCACCCTGAGGATCAGTGGTTTCCTTATTTATCTATTTCTCTGCAGAGTATAGTGCAAAGGCACTCTCTTTGCAAGAGGCAATCAAATATTTGTTGAACTGAATGAAATTATACTGTAAGCTCCTTGAGGACTGTGACTTTAAGCACTCTGTGTCTCTCAAAACTTAGTGAGTGTTTTGTACATAATAGGTACTAAATGAATACTAAATGAATAAGTATTCGTTTAGAAACCTCTCACCAATTAACATAAAGGAAAAAAGAAAGAAACCTGCTTTTAACATTCTTTATTCTTTCTTTTTGTTTTGTATGATGATGCCTAACTCTTACAGGTGCTTATCATGTGCTAAGCACTGAACTCAGGCTTACGACAATCACCTCATGTAATACTCACAACAGGACTGTGAGGCACTGTTTTTTCCTCATGTGATGGGTGGGAGGTTTACAGAAATAAAGAACTTGATCCCACAGTGAGCAAGTGGCAGAGCTGAGCCTGGAACCCTGAGTCCTCACCATCATGCCATACTTCCTTGGTTGTGTTTGCTGAGCCCCTTCAATGCAATAGTTTGAGTTTAAATAAACTTTTAAAAAACACTTTAACCTACATCTTAATATCATTCTTTGAAACGTAAGAACTTCTTGACACTTATTTTAAAGAGTGTTTTTTATTTAAAAAAAAAACAAAGAATTGTTAAATCTACTTTATCCATCTTCCAATGTTAAGCTTCAAGTTTAGGAGGCTATTAGTACTTTTTCAAATGATGTGTATGGTCCATACTTGATTATGTACCCCAAAGGATGGAGTAGTTAACAAAGACAACAAATTACCAAATAACTGAACAGTCACTTAATTTTGGAAAACAGTCTAGAAATTTCAGGATCAAAGATAGCTATTTATTCCCCATTCCCCATGCAGACCTTTACACACTTCTCTATTGGGAGCCTGGACTCTGACTGGCTGGCAGAGCAAAGGGGCAAGGTTTGTCACAGATAATCCACAAACAAATCAGAATGACCAAAAAATTTTCTCTTTTCAAATCTCTATTCAGTCTGCTTCTGACCACAATGCTGAAAAAGAATACACCAAGCACCAAGTAGTTGAAAGATTGCAAAACTGAGAGAGAAGGAAAAAAGTTATACTGGTCCTAAATACGACGAAAGCACACTGAAAAAACTCGCAAACTATACAAGGTGTTTCTTCTTTGGTTCTAGAGACATAAGCATGTGAAGCAGAGACACACATTAGTAGATTCAAGGAGAAACCACTGCCAGACTACTCAGAAGTACCTCTCTAGCCTCTACAGTAAATATTATTATTAAGGATGAGATTGATAACTCAAGCTGAAACTATATCAAGCAAGGACAAACTCTGTTGTTTAGCAAAATAAAGTAGAAAAATGACTACTAATATTTCAATACTCAGGTCTTCGATTTATCCATTCAAAACAAAATAAACACTACGTAGACAGTCTGGTAATATTAACTTTTAGTATTTTGTCATAGCTACTTTCCTGGATTTAAGTGTTAATGTTAAAATACATTATCACTCTAGATATGATGAATCTCTGTGTCTTAAGTGATATTTAAAATCCAAATCCCATTTATGAAGCAAAACTTCAATATCTAGGTATATTTTCATTCCTTGAAAATGATCTAAAATGTTCACTTGTTGATACTTCAGTATTTCAAGTTATAGATCATATGTTCAGAAAAGAATTAGGGAAAAGAATCAGCCTTCAATATTCACAAATGTGTAATGGAAAATGACAGCCCTAAACACTCCTGTGCACTGCTTAATATTTTGCCAAATTCCTCTGCTGTAGCAGAAGTTATTAAAACAAAAACAAAGCACATCATTAAAAAATGAGTTTAAGTCAAGTGAAAGTATTATATGATATTGCAAGCTTCTTAAAAATACATTTTAACTCAATCATGAAAAAAGTAAATATAAGTAATCCAAAAATAAAATATAAACAACAAAAACAATTTTGCTCCAATACAACTGAGTAAATACATATTCTTAACAATTTGTAATCACTTGTAAGAAATCATCTATGTTATAATTAGCTAAATGTTTTTATAGATATGGGATGTTAAGATGGAATGTGTATGCTGATTCCTACTCAAAAAAGGGATTCCTAATTCCTGTTTCAGATCATCACAATTCTCACATAAACTCAAAACCCACAATATCTTTAATATTGTGACTGTGAAGGACTGACTCTCTGAAGAAAGACTTACCTTGAAGTAAGTTGCTTTTACTTTGAAAATGACCTTCGATTCCTTTGAAAAGCAACTTTGTCAACATTACATGTCTAGAATAATGAAACAACCATTCATCCTGATTTGGATATGCGTTAAAAGAAGTAGAAAAAAAACAAAACTAAAACAATCTTCCCCTCACAAACCTCAATCCTACTTCATTATTTTTCCCTTAAATTTAGTTATTTTAAAACACTAATAGTTTTGATATATTTTCCCTGGAGCATTCCCCATCAAGATTAAAGAAGGGCTTATTCAGAGACAAACAGGATACAGGAGTAATGGTGCAGCTTCCAGGCAAGCTATAAATAGCTGCAGCATTTTCAAGAAATCTTGTGCCAGTGTGTAAGTGCAGTTAAAACATGCAGTGCAGATTTTATTACAATGGTGTCACTAAAATTCATTGTTAAGTGAGAAAGTCAATTCTTACCAAGTTTTCTTGGTTCCTGGCTGCTATTTTCTGCTCTTCTTCTGCCCCATTTTTCATGTATTTGACCTCTTCCACTGGTTTGATCCTATACTCATCTGAGTGTCAAAAAAAGAAAACACATTTTATAATTTTTTCCCCAACAGTAGAAAAGTGTCAGTCAGAAAATACCAATAGCGTAATTTGCTAGACTCTTTCACCTGTGGCCTTCATATGTGGTTCATTTGGAATAATCTGGAAGAAGCTTTACCAGGCACATTAGATCTTTTTATGAGGCCCTCTCCTCTGTCTGCTGGAAAAAGCTCAGCATCACGAATGCAGCTAATCAAAGTGTCAATTCTGGTCCTTCCACAGACAGCAAATGTTGCAGAGGAAACAGGATACTCTATCTCTAAAGACTTTTGGAAATGTATGTTACACTAGGACATATCACAGAATTGTCTGATAAGATTCAAGAGAATATGCTTATTTTTCTTCAAGAGAGTATTAGTCCAAAATGCCTGTGCCAGCAATTTTCAGTGATATATTCATTCGTTAATTTCTCTTTTGTAAAAACAGAATAAGACTAAAGAGTTATATTGATAAATAGAAGCAACTGAAGAATTGAGACGTTTCTGTGATTCCTATATTAAATTTTAGCAGTCTACAATTATTTCACATTACATATATATATTGTATATATATTTCATATATATATATAATGTGTACACTTTAATTCAATCTCTCTGTAAAGTCATATGCATGAAGAGCTATTACACTTAACAGATGAAATGGGTAGGTATATCACTCAAGGCTGGAGAGTATAGTAGGATGTGGATGGGATCTGGCCTCTGCAACAGCCAGAGAGAGAACACAGATCCCAGTATTAATATACATGATAGAACAAACTCAGGAAAACTTGCAGCTTAAGTTCTCCAGAATAGTGATCACTATGATGACATTTCCATCAGATTCCTGTCAACAGGAAATGACTTGAGCACATTAAAGTCAAAAATAAGTGTGACTCTGAATCACTCTTAACCCAACTTGTGGGAAACATCACAGAAATTGTGAAATTAGAAAATATCATCAACCAACAAACTGACGATTGTCTGGCATATGGCATGGAGTAATGTCTAACTATAGGGGCCACCTGAAAGACAGCTGTCTATCACTAAGAGCGTTTATATTTCAGTTCAGAAAGTTGCAATATATTTTCTTATTAACTATGATTAAATAGGTATAAAGACTATATTCTTCTATATAATTTCTTGTCTTAGTATCTATAACACCACTTTCTAATATAGTTTCAGGTTTCCTCATCATATTACCCCTTAACACACAACTCCCAAAGATGTTCGTTATAGTAATATTTCTGCAAGTAATTATGCTGTTCAAATGTTTCTCAAAATTATCATTCTTAAGAATGTAATACATTTGCATGAATCTGAATAAAGACTTCATGTTCACTGCTAAGCCAACTGTCTTTTCCATCTGACAATTTAGAGTTATTATTGATTTTATTTTTCTGTAAAGATATTAGAAAGACTAGTGTGAGGTTCAGTAATGAGCTCTTTAGGAATACCAGGTCCTAAATGTATTAACAAGTTAATCAACAGATTCTGATCCACAATTACAACACACAAGAATTTTACATACCAATGTGGTAATTTGAAGAGACAAAAATGAATGTAAATTAATAATACTGACAAATTTGATGAAGGATTATTTACTGAGAATTTGGAAAAACAATCGTTAATTAAAAAAGAGAAGACACTGACAAATTTGCCCCCAATACAATTACACAGAGATAAAAATAAAAGTTAAAAAAAAAAAAAGGTAAAAATGGGCCTCCCTAACTTCAGTTTGGGACATTAATATTTATAAATCCTGGCAGACTGAGATAATTACTATTAATAACCTTTTTTTTTTTTTTTTTTTTTTGACAGAGTTTCATTCTACCGTCCAGGCTGGAGTGCGATGGCACGATCTCGGCTCACTGCAACCTCCGCTTCCCGGGTTCAAGCGATTCTCCTGCCTCAGCCTCTCAACTAGCTGGGATTACAAGCGCCTGCTACCACGCCTGGCTAATTTTTTGTATTTTCAGTAGAGATGGATTTTACCATGTTGGCCAGGGTGGTCTCGAACTCCTGACCTCAGGTGATCCACCCGCCTCAGCTTCCCAAAGTGCTGAGATTATAGGCGTGAGCCATCACTCCCGGCCTACTATTAATAACCTTTAACTGAACTAAATTGTGACTTAATTGTTAATGGTGAGTTTCTAATTATTTAAATACACAGAATACTGATATATATATATATATATACACACACACACACATACACATATATATATACACATACACACACACACATATACGTATCACAAATGGATTCTATGATTTTGTCTGTAGGATGGGGAAGAGGGTAACATTTTCGGACCTAAGGAGAACCTTCGGAAAGACCCAGATGGCCCCTTGTCCATTGCTTGGTGAAGGTTTCTCCTAGGAAGGAGATGCCCTTGCCTTGTCCACAGTCCTCTCTCATCCGCCAAGCCACAGACTAGTGCAGACATACTCTGAGCAGCCTAGCAACATTCAGTCTTCATTTTCTTATCCCTCCAGGGAGCACAACTAAATTGAAGGTAGTGGACAAACTATTACTATTTTTCCAATATGTTTCTCCAATGAAATGGAAAAGCTACTGGCTACATGACTTTCAAAGCAGCATTATTCTAAACACAGGCCATTTTTTAAATCAAGACAGAATCCCCACCAATTTAGACAGAAGATAGGCTTTAACATGTCATTAACAACGCTGGCTGGCTAGCCAACGTAGTGTTAGAGGATACAAAGGAAGAGAAAACAAACAGCCACGACTACAAAGCCAGACCTATCATTATTACTTACACAACACAACGCACAAAATCCATCATGGTATAAAACAAAAATAGCTGGGCAAGACCCTTCAATAGGCCACAATTTGTACAAAGCAAATATTTAAAAATGGTCTGTCACATTCTCAAAGGCTGGTGCCGGGAAGGAAGATGTCCATCTGGAAACAGACGTCTCATCAGCAAATGCACCACACATTCCCAAGGCAAGGCAGCCATCAGGAACGTCCTACCTCACCAATCCGCCTCTCAGCGAATGAAGGAAGCATTTTGGATTATGACAGTAAAACAATCACTACCAAAATTCAGTTTTCCTTTTGTTGAAGACATGGGGGATTAATGTGAGATTTTAGGTTCCCTTTATCAGAGCCCACAATGGAGGAAATGTGGACAGCCACTGTTACAGCCAGAGGGTCCTGGCAGCGGAACAACATGCCGACTCGAGGTAGAGCAGGGAGACACAGGACCTGTCTTCCTTCCGCTCCCCCCAGCTCCCTTGCACCTGTTCACAATTTTTCTTTTCTTCCTGTTGATCTTGTCAGGTGGCTTATTAAAATGCACGTCGGGAACAGTAGGCTGACTCCTGTTCCCTGCATGTAAACAGTTGCAGGCTGTGCTAGTCAAAATAGATGTGGGGTAAAAGCAACGCCTGGGTGATATTTTTAGCATTTTATGCCTCAGATTACATCCAAGAGGGGCTGGGAGTGTTTGGTGGCACTGATCAAAAGAAGACTAGGTGAGAAGGTGTCAGAGTAGATTCAAATTTTCATCATTTTAGAAAACTGTAAGATCCCTTCTGATCTCAAACAGTAGTGGGTACAGGCTGCTTCTGCTGTTTTTCCTCCTTCTCCCTTGAACATGTACATCTATGAACATTTTTAACTTTTTAATAATCCTGACGTGCCAAACTCATTCCAGCAACCATTTCTCTAGTTGATTCCTTTAAAAGTCAGTTCTATTAATTATAAAGATCTTCTCTCTGCAAAGCTTAGAAGGAACGGGGTGTGGCCCACGAGTTCTAGTTTTGTAGCTAGTGATAAATAGGTCAGAATCTAACATCTTTATTAGGTTGAACACAAGTTTGTTGGAGGGTAATTAAAAGCAGAGAAGAGTGAAGGCGTCAATCACTTCAGCATAGCTAACTATGGTTTACTTCTACACTGTCCTCATCTGGAAGGTGTACACTCATTACAGTCTGAGTACCTATGTGCTGGGCTCTGTAGTAACCGATGCAGGGATGTGGAGGAGAGGGGTTGGAGGACTACAGAGAGGGCCCAAGGAAAACCAGCTGTCTTGAGGGGAAGACTAATGCTCTGAGAGCCCATCTTCTACTTGACTGACCACAGATAATGAGGGCTGACTCTAAATTTGGAATAAACTTACACACAAAAATTCAGCTGAAGGACCTCATATACCACTATCAATTAAGGACCTCATATACCACTATCAATTCCCTGAGTCGGGCAGTCCCTGAACAATAACTACTGTCCTTACTAGTAGAAAGTGATTTAGTCAGTTCCAATGTAACAGTCATTATTGAGTAACTTTTAGGGTAGTTATAAACTTCCTAACAAGAAGCTTTGGTACACTTAGTATAAAATATTCTCAGTTCCTTCCAGAACTCACTTCAAATTAACCTAATAAAGGCAAACATTTCAAAATAAGATTGCTTGATACATCTTTTTTTTTTTTTCTTTTTTTAGACAGTGTCTTACCCTGTCACCCAGGTTGGAGTGCAATGGCACGATCACGGCTCACTACAACCTCCATATCCCAGGCTCAAGTGATCCTCCCACCTCAGCATCCTGAGTAGCTGGGACCACAGGTGCGCACCATCCTGCCTGCCTAATTTTTTTATTTTTTGTAGAGGCAGGATTTCACCATGTTGGCCAGGCTGGTCTCAAACTCCTGGACTCAAGCGATCCTCCCACCTCAGCCTCCCAAAGTGCTGGAATTACAGGTGTAAGCCATCATGCCCGGGCACATTAAATTCTAGTAATCTACAAATATGATGTGTTAAAAGTAACAAGCAGGAAAATTATGTCTTTAGACTTTAAGTTTGTAGAAACTAAACATGAATGGTGTCTGACCACTGTATCTCTACTAGGGGAAGTATAAAGACTGTACATATGTGTACATATCCCTTATGATACTTCACAATCCAAAAATGTTAATGTCACTAAGACAGCAATTCTCATATGCCTTTTGTATCCTTATTCACTACTG